AAGGAAATCGGTATGTCAAGAGGATGTATTTATTAAAATAGCAACTATTCTCTAGATTGAATTTATCTCCTAAAGCTCTTGGCTATTGATAACATTTGTGCTGATTTTCACATTAAATTTTGACCAAATACTTGTAAACATTAGATGCAAATTCAAGAGTATTGTTTAAGTAATTATAAATAAAGAAGTAATCCCTCCATTAGAGTACTATTTTTCAAGATTGAATAAAACCGCATTTTTCATTATTAATGATGTTTCTAGAGTTAGGATTATTTAACAAAAAGACTGATAAAAAATACAACAAAATAAAAAATTTAGGCATTAGCAGCTTCTGTAATGACCCAAGAGTCTTTAGGACTCTTACTTTCTCAACATGGTATTGATACTACTTGGTATCTGTTTACTTTGCAAACTTTCCTGTCTGTATGGTACAGATTGGACTACGATCATATTATCAGATGGGTGGATAATACCAACACTGAACACCAAGAATTGAAGCACATTATTCTTCCATTGCCATGAGTGCTAATTTTTTTTTAACTGTAGTCTCACAGGTCTTTTTAAATTTTTCTGGGTTTTTATATTGAGTATGAACTATAATATTCTGCACCTTTTATCTCTATCTTGCTGATCTGCTTACTAAGTTTAAAGGAAGGAAACCTGTATGAATATAAAAATATACATAGATTTCAAAAACTAAAATTGAAGCATTATTTTTTGGGACAATATGATAGCAGTCATATCACCTAGTAGTCTGATTTTAAAGATAAATTAAGATGAGGCCCAGAAAGTGAAAATAGTGCAATATTTAGATTAAAGACGTAAGTTTACTAATTTTTTTTGTTTTATGTTATTTTTACTGTTTATAATATGTTTTGACAGTCTAAAGAATTTCGTTCTAAACAGGTCTTACTGTTTCTAAGCTGTCAATCCCAAACATTTTAATCTTTCTGATTTCTATAATTTCTTCCTCCATTCTTTGACATACATTTTATATTGGTATAGAGAAACTAGTAACTCTAGAAGAAAAATTGCAATTTTATTTTGTGATTTTCTCTCTTCCCTAAAAGGCTCCTCACCTCAAACTTCATCATGTATTTCAATCATTTCTTGTAAATTATACTCTTGACAACATGAAATGGCATAATGTTTCATTGCAATCTGTAATATGAGTTATACTTATCTTTAGATTTTTATTATTTATATTTGCATAAAGGTTTTTATTTGTATTAAATTCTTTTAAAATAACGTGGAAATGGCACACAGTTGGACTACATTCTATTTCTCCTAAAATTCATATAAGGGATTTTGTCTTTTAATAAAAAGGGTTATATCACTATTGCAAACTGAAAAAAAAAGAACTTGAATTTCTAAGTCATTTCCTGACTCCACTGGTTAAATTTCATACAAATTTTTACATAATATTTATTTGTACTTGTAGTAGGATCTATAACATTCCAAAGTATATTTTGACTGCACAAAAGTCTGAGCCCTTGTGTAGGGTATAATTTTAGTATTTAGCAAACAAAAATTATGTTTCTATTTTGGCTTCTGTCACTTTCTAGTTAATTTTTAAAATCAACAACATCAGTATTCTTCTTTTCAGAACTGTAGAAAACTTATTCTATTTCTTTTACTTTGCTTCTATGATAATTATTAATGCATTTTATTTGGACATACTAAGAAAACTTTCGAAACAACATCCTAATTGCCACTAATGTATCATTAAAATTTGTTACTATATATTCACTGATTTCTATGAATTTCACTCATTATGGATGATTTAATCATATCACTCATATTTTAATAATCCTTCATCCCTCAGCTTTGGATGTTTTTTGTTTGTTCATTTGATACTGGCTCTCACTTGCAAAGTATAAAAGACAAATAATTTGAGAAGAAGTGTCTGTCCTTATCGTTATGAAATGCTCTCTGGTTTTGATTCTCCTCTTCAAAGCCTTTTATCCTACACTGGCTTGCAGTAAATGTCCTATCTCATAGATCATATTAATGCGTTAGTGGGTGGAGGCCCATGCATATTTAGAAGAATGCTTTGACTAGGTAAAGAAGGGCTGGGGTACAAGGTTGATGCAGAAAACCCAGGAATCTAGGGATCATCCCATAATGCCCAAAATGAAGATTGTATATATTTTCCCCAACTCTGGTTGGGATAGACAATGCTTGAAAGTGATGCAGGAATTTACTTTTGTAATTTATTTGTTGTAATTTTGACTAAAGTTTACAGAAATTGGATTTCCATTCATTTATTGTTGCACATTTCCCCCCCTTGTCCTTCCTTTAGGGCCTGTCCCAGTCCACTCTGCAAAACATCTCTGGTTTCAGATTGTTGTCTTAATGTCTAGGCATACATTCATTTCAGGTGGTTCTTCCCCTCATCTGTTCCAAAGCAGTGTTCATTATCTATCCAGTCTTTTCTATTCTCTCCCCAAACCCCAGTGTCTGTCCTATTTTACAGTTATGCAGTATTTGTCTTTTTGTTTAATTTTTTAAAAATTTTATTATTTTTGTGTGCATGTACTGTCAAATCAGATCTGACTGGTACAGGAGGAGATTGTCCCTCCTTCCCCGGCAGAGCATCTGGTGGGTTTGAACTGAAAATTTTATTATTTTACGTGTACCATCAAATCAGATCTCACTGGTACAGGAGGAGATTGCCCCCTCCTTCTCCAGTAGAGCATCTGGTGGATTTGAACCGCATATCTCTCGGATTGCAGTGCAGCGTCTTGCCACTAGGCCACCAGAGCTCCGTAGTATTTGTCTTTTGTGACTGAGATATTTCACTCTGCATAAAGTCTTCCAGGCTCACTCAACATGGATGCAAGAATTTGAGACACAATTTTTAGAACATTCATGATGCTACTTTGAATGCATAGGAGTTTTATAAGACCTTGTAGCTTGTGTTTTTCCTCCGCTGTTTATAGAGATGGGAGAAATAACAAAGAAAATAAAAATTGATTTAGTACAAAATGGTGACTTTGGGGGGAAATTTAGAGAATTACAAACCAATTCGAGGAAGCAGGTGATTAGAAAAATTAACAGGAGAAAAAGATTGACAGAGTTTTTTTCCTAGAGCATCTGCATTTTTCCCCTGAAAAAACGATCACAATTATCACAACTCTATTTGGTATGGTATTTTTTTAAACTCTACCTCTGAAAATTTTAGTAACTTTGGATCACCTGCATAAAGTTATTCATTTGGCTGTGAACTCTTTTAGATATTTCAACATATGAATGAACTTTAGTTGAAAGATAATGACTGATCTTAAACATTCATTCCAATCTTGGTACCAGCAGCCAGGAAATCATAAGGTGAATTGCATTCGAAAAGTCTGCTGTCAGGGACATCTCCAGAGAACTGAAGAGCAACAGTATTAGTCTGGAGACTAACGTGCACTTGATACAGGCCATGGTCTTGGCAGTTATATGCTATGCATCAGAAAGCTGGACAATGAATATGAATGATAGAAAGAGAACTGATGCTAGATCAATTTAGCTGTGGTGCTAGAGAAGAATATTGAATATACATACCATGGACTTCTAGGAGAACAAACAGGTTCGTACTGGAGAGGGTGAAATCAGGGCATGTTGCAAGGAGGGACCAATCCTTGGAGAGCGTCATCGTACTTGGTAGGGTAGAGGAACAGCACAAAAGAGGAAGACCCTCAAAGATATGGATTGACTCAGTGACTGGGTTAATGGAGATTGGCGTGTCAGAGAAAATAAGGTTGGCTCAAGACAGAGTGAGATTCTGAGCTGTTGTATATAGGGTCACTATAAGTCGCAGGCAACTTGATGGCACATAACAACAACAATGACAATAATCTCCCCTTCTTCTTTGATTTCCCTCAGGATTTGCTTTTATTCGGTTCCCCAGGCTTCTGCATCATTCAGTGTTCCTTAAAAATATCCATGTTAGGCATATGTCATTGTGAAGTCAGTTGCATCCCATCAAGTGATGTTTGCCTGAGTAGTCAGAGATTTCCTGGATCCTTACATTCTGGTTATTTTCTATTTCCAAAGTAATTTTAAACTTTGATGAGTAAAGCTTTTGTTCCTATTTATTCCAATCAATTGTGTTTGAGAGGTTTGGGTTTCCTCCTCCTTTCTTAGTCTTTCTTTAGTCCTAAAATTGTCAACAAGTTTCTCACAAAGGACTACACGTCCTCTTTTCCGAACTTGAGAGCAGCTCTAACTGTCCTTGAAATCAAACCTCTTCTCCAAGGATTGCATATCTACCAGCTCCTATAAAACTGAAGAATGGAATGCAATTTAGAAATAAAATAGTTGTGTTTAAAGCCTTTTCTAGAGATATATTTAAAATAGATGTCTGTTTGCATCCGTTGAGGCTCTGTTACACATACATTAATAGCCAAATCCATCAAGTAAAAACCAGATATTCCTTTTAGTCCAAACCAGGCTAAAAACAATTGTTAACATCTGGATTTAATAGATTCAAGTTTGTAATTCTACTAACATTGTCATCTTATCTAGACTTGTTTATTGCCTTTACCTATAATCAATATGAATAAATTGCAGGCCTCCCTGTAGTTATGAAAGTCCAACTTGGATAGGATGACCCCTACTTGTTCTTTACTGTTTTGTTGTTTTTGTTCTTTACTGTTGTGCAAATTAAAGCTATTGGACCAACCTTGTTTCTAAATGAATTCTTCACAATCGCCTTCAATTGTTGCTTGTGCAAATTTCAAATATTTGAAAATTCTTCCATCCTTTTCTTCCGTAAAAGTACCTGTTCTGACTTACCTAAAATTCCCAAAGATATATTTAGGAAAAGATGTCATTTATTTCCTTGAGACTGCCCGTATTTGGGAACTTGAGGGGAGGGAATATACTTTTCCTTAATGTTTCATATTGTGTTAATTAAGATCCTGACTCATTTGTGACATTTATTATTAGGATAGAAACTAATTCTGACTTCATTATAATTTTATATATCTTTTCCTGATACTCTCATTATAAAGGTCATGGACAGTGTAACTGTGGAAGATGTGACTGCAAAGTTGGTTGGTATGGGAAAAAGTGTGAACACCCACGTTCCTGCCCACTGTCAACTGAGGACAGTGTCAAGAAGTGCCAGGGAACCTCAGATTTGCCTTGCTCTGGAAGGGGTAAGTGAGGTCATTTAGGCCTGATTATGACCTTCTAATCCTATGAGTTAAATAAACTCTGTTCTCATGAATCTGATTTACACGTGAACTGAGTCCTGTGAATAAGAGATTAGCCTTTTCAGAATTAATAATAAATCTGCTTTCTGTGGATAACATACATTGAGAAACATAATTTCTCTTTCTTTCTGTATTTGTCTCTTTATCTCACTTACTCACTCTCTACTCTCCATTTCTTGTGTAATCTGTTACAAACCATTCAATTATTATTATTTTTTTTTAAAAAAAAATTGAGATATGTGCTCAGTGCTTTCTGAATCAGACTATCTAATTGTCCACTGGTGCTTTTAAAGGAAACAAATAACATTGCTAAGAGGAGATTTTTGGTCTTTAATTGAGTGTTGTAGCTATGAATAAGCCTTTGTTGTTTCAAAAGGCTTGTAGCCTTAGGTGTGTTCTTGGTATCAGATGAGTACAAATTGGAGGAGAAAGAAGAATTTGTCTAGAGGAAAACTAATTCCATTCATGCTGATGAGTCAAAATAAGAAATACAATTTCACCTTAGATGAAAAAAAAGGTTAATATGAAATAATGTTTGCAGTGAAACAAGTAATTGAAGTTACTACAAGAAAAGAAGCGAAAAGCCTCTTTTACCTTAACGTTAAATTAACAATTTCACTTTTGTGATTTTTTTAAAAGTCATTTTTCAGTTGGGATATAATTAACAAATCATAAATATCACCATTTAAGATACATAATTTAGAAATATTTATTTACATGTTTATTTGTGCAACATTCACCACTGACTCCTGAAAATGTTAATCATCCTCCCAAGAAACCCTGTACTTTTTAGTACTTACTTCTCTTTCTCCAATAATTGACAATAATTAACCTACCTTTTGTCTCCAAAGTTTTATGTATTTTTGGACACTTAATCTTTCTACTCAAGGGGTTTTATTGTTTGTTTGCTTATTTGTGTTTTTTTTTTGTCAATTTTTATCTTTTTATTTCATTGTCATTTTAATAAAATGTTATAGAAAGTTGTATTTTCATTCATTCACTGATGTACAGTTTTCTGCCTCTCCCTTCTTTTCCTTGCCCATAGCTCACTTTGTAATGCACTTCTTGTTCCAGATCGTTGGCATACATATAAGGCCTAATCACATATTCCTTTCAGACAATCCTCCCCTTCAACTGTTGCAGTGCAGTGTCCATTATCTATCCACACTTTTCTTTTCCTTCTTCACGTTTATATCAACCATATTTTATAACAGTGGTCTTGTAAAATATTTGTCTTTTTTTGTGACTGAGGTATTTAATTTAGCATAATGTCTTCCAGATTCATCCACGTTGTGTAGTGTTTTACACTTCCATTGTTTTTCAATGCTGGATAATATTCCATTGTGGAAATATTCCATAGTTTGTCATATTCTTTCATTTGTTAACAGGAAGTTGGGCTACTTCTATCTATTTGCTTTTGTGAATAATGCTTCAATGAACATGCACGGACATACACCTGCTTGCATCACAGCTCTGATTCCTTAAGAATATATTCACTGTAGGGGATAACTGGACCAAATGATATTTTTAACTTTTGAAAAAGCACCAAACTCTTTCCATAGTGACTATTATGTTATACTCCCACCAGCAGTGGGAATTCCAATCTCTCCACATCCCTCCAAGTTTTTGTTGTTTGCTGCCCTATTGAAGTTCACTATTGTGTCTGGGTTGATATCTCTCTATTTTGGTTTACATCTCCCTGATAGCTAGGGATTTTGTACATTTTTTTGCATGCATTTATAAGATATCTGAATTTCTTTTTTTTAAAGTGTCTATTCATATCTTGTTGCATACAAGATATGAATAGACACTTTAAAAAAAATTCTCACCACTGGACCAATCGGTAGCATCAGGATGGATGGTAAAGAGATTGAGATTGTTCACAGCTTCAATTTGCTCAGCTCCACTGTCAACACTCTTGGCACCAGTAGCCAGGAAATAAAAAAACGTATTGCGATGGGAAAGTCTGCGGTTAGGGACCTCTCTAAAGTACTCAAGAGCAACGGTGTCTCTCTGGAGACTAAGGTGCGCCTGATACAGGCAATGGTTTTTGCAATCACTTGTTATGCATCAGAGTTGGACAATGACTAGGGAGGATAGAAGAAGAATTGATGCCTTTGAGCTGTGGTGCTGGAGAAGAGTATTGAATGTACCATGGACTGCCAAGAAAACAAACAGATTCATCCTAGAGAGGGTTAAACCAGGCTGCTCCTTGGAGGCAAGGATTCTGGGGCTTCGCCTGACATACTTTGGACATGTTGTAAGGAGAGACAGGTCTTTAGAGAGGGACATCATGCTGGGCAGAGTGGAAGGACAGCGCAGGAGGAGAAGGCCCTCTATGAGGTGGATTGATTCAGTGACTGGGGTAATCAGGATGGGTGTGTCAGAGGCAGTGCGATTGGCACAGATAGAGCATGGTTTAGGGCTGTTGTACATAGGGTCGCTATGAGTCGCAAACGATTCGATGGCACATAACAACAACAAACAACATTCATATCTTGTGCCAATTTTGTGAGTGCATTGTTTGCATTTTTCTTGTTGAGAAGATAGAATATTCTATAAATTTTAGATACTGGAAGGAACAAAAAGAGACCTACAGAAATGGAAAAATATGCCATGCTCATGGATAGGAAGATTCAATATCATTAAAATGACAAATCTGCCAAAAGTAATCTACAAGTTCAATGTAATCCCGCTACAGATACCCATTCCAGTCTTCAAAGAGATGGAAAAGGCAATTTTATAATTTTGTCTGGAATGGAAAGAGACCTCAAATAAACAAAACATCATTGAAAAAAGAAAAATAAGATGGGATTACACTTCCTGATATAAACTCTGACTATGCACTATACTAATCAAGACACCTTAGTATTGGTATACCAATCGACACATAAATAGTTGGATTAGAATCAAGAACCCAGAAATCAACACATTTACCTACCTATAGTCAACTGATTTTTGACAAGGAGATGAAATCAGCTAAGTGAGGAAAGACAGCCCCTTTAAATGGTGTTGAAAAAAACTGGAAAACCATTTGCAGAAAACTTTAACTCACACCATACACAAAAAGCAACAAGAAAGATGGATCAGGGACTTAGAAGTAAAGCCAAACACTATAAAGTCCATCAGAGGAAAAATTAAGAGAACTCCTGAAACCCTAAACTACAACATGAATAGACTGCTAAGCATAATAAAAATCCACAACTAAGAGAGGATAAAAAAGATTAATATGACCTTCTAAAAATTAAATCCCAAACTTCTAACACAGGATAAAAAGGAAACCTACAGCCTAGGGAAAAAGTATTTGGCAATGACATATCTGATCAGCAGAAGGTCTTTAAGATCATTTATGCTGCAGCATTCACCCTACATCATTCATAGTTATGGCTGAATAATCTTTCAAGGGAGCTCTGGTAGCTTAGTGGTAAAGAGTTGTGCTGCCAGGCATGTGGTTTGAATTCCCCAGGTGCTCATGGGAGAAAGATCTCCTCCTGTGCAGTTACATGGTTAACTGCCACTGGAAACCCCACTGTAGTGTGAGCTATGACTTAGATCCAACTCAGCGGTATACAGCAACAGTCCTTCATTGCATAACTAAATCATGTTTCTTTATCCTTTGGTCAATTTATAGAAAATCATATTGTTTCTATATGGACTGCAGCCTTAAATATGGATTGAAGCTGAACATCAAGAAAACAAAGATTCTCTCCACTGGACATATTGGCAGCACCATGATAGATTATGAAGAGATTAGCAGTGTTAACAGCGTCACCTTACTTGTCTCCACAATCAATATTCTTCATACCAGTACCAAGAAATCCAAAGATGAATCACACTGGGAAAGTCTACTGTCACGGACCTCTCCAAAGTACTGAAGAACAGCAATGTCATTCTGGAGACTAAGGTTCATCTGATTCAGTCCATTGTCTTTGCAATTACATCTAAAGCTAAACAATGTGAAAGAAATTGTTGGAGAAGGTCAATATCAGCAGCCAAAAGTAGGTCAGGTGCGGATTGTAGGTCAGACCAACAATTGCTCATGTTGTTGTTGTTGTTGTTATGTGCCGTTGAGTCACCTGCAACTCATAGCAACCCTATGTACAACAGCTCTGAAGCCTGCCTTGTCTTGAGCCAGTTTCATTGACTCCAACACACCTGCCTCCATTGCCCTAATTTACTGTAAAATTTATCTCATCTGGGGTCTTCTTCTTCTGCGTTCTTCCTCCACCCTTATACGCATAATGTCCTTTTACAAGGATTGTTCTTTCCTGGCCACATGCCCAATATATGTAAGATGGAGCTTCAAAATCCTAGCCTTCAAGGAGAAACTTGATTTCACCCTTTCCTAGGCAGACCTATTTGTTTCTTGGTGGTCTGGTATGTTCAAGACTCCTCTCAAGCACCACAACTCAAAGGCATCAATTCTTATTCTGTCATCCTTAGTTGTTATCTAGCTCTCTGATACATAGAAAGTAATAGCAAAGACTATGGCCTGGATCAGGTACACCTTAGTCTTTAGATAGTCATTGTTGCTTCTCAGTACTCTAGAAACGCCCCTGATGGCAGATTTACATCATACAATTCATCTTTTGATTTCCTGACTATTGGTGCAAAGAGTGTTGATTGTAGAGCTGAGCAAGCTCTAATTGTTAACGAACTCAATCTCTTCTCTATCCATCATGGTGCTGACAAATGTTCAATTGATGAGAATCTTTGTCTTCTTAATGTTCAGCTTCAATGCATATAAAAAACTACAGTCCTTGACCTTCTGCAGAAAGTGTTTCAGGTTCTCCTCCATTTCAGCAAGCAAGGCTGTGTTATCTGCATAGTTTAGGTTGTTGATGAGTCTACCTCCAATCCTGATGCCACATTACTCCTCATAAAGCCCTACATCCCTAATGATCTATTCTGCATATACATTGAAAAGATATGAAGACAGGATG